CTCTCGCCTGCATTTCGCGCACTCGACACGCACGATCTCCGCAGAGGGTTGCACTTTCGGTTGACGCTGTTCGTCCCACCCTCCGCCTTTAAGAGAGAATTTATAAAGTGGGGAAATGTTTTTTCATTAGGACATCTCCCCTGCTAGTTCACTTGCCTACTCATTGCATGCTTGCATACTCATCACTTGCATACTTACACTTGCATACTTCCACTTGCATACTTTGACAGCTTTCGCTCTTCCACTTACACAGGGCTACGTATAGCGTTCATGTTATCCTGCAAGTGTGGTGAAAGCGTCAATGTCTAGGTGTGTCTAAGTGTAAGTGTCGAAGTGTCAGTGTTCAAAGGATTTTCCGGAAGAACCCTTCGCAATGCTTTCGGGAACAATGCAAAAAATGGACGACAATCAGAAACATCTCAGCAGCAGAATCATCTTGGCCCAGGATCGTTTCTTGGCCTCACAGAAAAGCTGTTTGGGGAATCATCTCAGCCCAGCATCCGGACACGCTGTGGGAGACAAAGGGAGACAAGGAGAAACAAAGCAAAATCATCTCAGCCCAACATTCAGAAACCTCATGGGAGACAAAGGGAGACAAAGCAAGATCACACACCATGGGAGACAAAGGGAAACAAGGGGAGACAAAGCAAAATCATCTCAGCCCAGCATCAGGAGACGAAGGGGGACAAAGCAAAATCATCCCAGCCCAACATCCAGACACACCATGGGAGACAAGGGGAAACAAAGAAAAATCATCTCAGCCCAGCATCCAGAATCCAGACACTCCACGGAGGACAAAGGAGACCAGGCAAAACAAGGGGAGACAAAGCAAAATCATCTCAGCCCGCCGTCCAGACACGCCATCGCCAGACACGCCATGGGAAACAAAGGGAGACAAGGGAAAGCAAAATCATTTCAGCCCAGCATCCAGACACGCCATGAATGGGCCATGGGAAACAAAGAGAGACAAAGCAAAATCATCTCAGCCCAGCATCCAGACACAGATAAAGGGAGACGAGAGGAGACGATCATCTTGGCCCAGCATCGTTTCTATGCAAGAATTGAGAACCCCTCACAGCAAAGCTGGTTGGGGAATCATGGGAGAGACAAGGGGAGACCCAGGGACAAAATCATCTTGGCCCAGCATCGTTTCTATGCAAGAATTGAGAACCCCTCACAGCAAAGCTGTTTGGTTAAAAAACTCGCTCGCTGTTCAAGAAAACACTGAACTTCGTGGAGAGAGAGAGTTGGGGTCCTTGGCTTAGCCCCGCGCCACTGACGAAAGAAACAAAAAAAATCAAACCCCTGCGCTCGTGCAGCAGGAGCCGACCTGGCAGCCGGAAGCGGGAGTCTACTGCATAGAAACGGTTACCACCAAAACAACTATCCAATTTGGTTCGCAGCCGCAAACCATTCTGGGGGCGGCTCCCAGACTGGCGGACTTTGCTCTTCATGAATTGGGTCTGATAATTGAAGATGATAAATGCGACAAAAAACATCCGCCCTCTTCTTTTTTGTGGCTTGTTGGCCTCCCAGCCCCTCGCCGTCTCCAGCGTCGGCCGTGCCACCAGCGCCAGCTCCTCAATGTCACTGACCGGTCACTTTTCCGGGACATCACGAAAACTTGCCGACGCGTCCCGAGAGGCCACCGGTTTATGACCATAAGAGTTCTACCCATACTGCAGTGATATGTTGATATGCGAGAATTTCGTGGTACGATTCATCCTGTTTCCCTCCAATCATTCTTTGAACAGAAAAAAGCACAAAAGCGTCAATACTCTCACGGCTAGATTATCTCTGTCCTCAGGAGGAGGCAGCGCCGCCCTTGCCAGACCTTCCAGGGCTGCCGGCTCAAAGGCCTCATGCCTAAGAACCACCACACTCTCCTTACAAAACCACGCAGCCCTGTAAGTGCCACGGCATTCCTCCATTGCTCTCACCCACACCCACCTTCAGTCTCACTCACACTCACTCTCACTCTCACTCACACTCGCACTTATAATGAGTCTCCCACTCTCACTCATCACCCTCCCTCACACTCTCACTCCCCGACTTTCACTCACACTCACACTCCTTCACACTCTCACTCTCACGCACACTTACTCTCACCCGCACTCTCACTCACACTCGCACTCACTCTTCCACTCTCACTCACACTCATACTCACTCTCACTCTCACCCACACTCACCAACACCCACCTTCACTCTCACCCACGCTCACTTACACTCACACTCACTCTCACTCTCACCCACACTCACTCTCAGAGTGAGTGTGAGTGAGAGTGAGAGTGGGAGAGTGAGTGAAAGTGAGAGTGGGAGAGTGAGTGAGTGTGAGTGTCAGTGTGAGTGTGAGAGTGAGAGTGAGAGTGAGTGAGAGTGAGAGTGAGAGTGAGAGTGAGGGTGAGTGTGAGTGAGAGTGAGAGTGAAGGTGGGTGCTAGTGAGTGTGGGTGAGAGTGAGAGTGCGAGAGTGAGTGAGTGTGAGTGCGAGCGTGAGTGAGAGTGAGAGTGAAGGTGGGTGCTAGTGAGTGCGTGAGAGCTGAGAGAGTGAGCATCTGAGAGCACAAGTACTCCGGCTCCACGAAATCTGCACTTCGAGGTTCACCACGCGCTGTGCCTGCCACGAAATCTGCACTTCGAGGTTCACCATGCGCTGTGCCTGCCACAAAATCTACACTTCGAGGTTCACAAAGTGCTGCGCCTGCCACAAAATCTGCACTTCGAGGTTCACCAAGTGCTGTGCCTGCCACAAAATCTGCACTTCGAGGTTCACCAAGCGCTGTGCCTGCAACGAAATCTGCACTTCGAGGTTCACCAAGTGCTGCACCTGCCACGAAACACCAAGCGCTGTGCCTGCCACGAAATCTACACTTCGAGGTCCACCAAGTGCGGCGCCTGCCACGAAATCCGCACTTCGAGGTTCATCAAGTGCTGCGCCTGCCACGAAATCTGCACTTTTGAGGTTCACAAAATCGAAATCTGCACTTCGAGGTTCACAAAGTGCTGTACATGTCACGAAATCTGCACTTCGAGGTTCAAAGTGCTGCACCTGCCACGAAATCTGCAACTCGAGGTTCACCAAGTGCTGAGTACCTGCCACGAAATCTGCAAACGAGCCACATGCCCAAAAGTCACAATTCACTGCACCTGTCACGAAATCAGAGCTCTTCGACGATCACCGCCATGTCCAAAGTGCTGCGCCTGCGACGAAAACTGCATTTCGAAGTAAGACAGCTCCGATCCCTTGCGCCTGTCACGAAAAGCCGACTTTGGAGCACCAAAACACGAGGTCTCCCTTGCACCTGTCACGAAAAGTCACCACCATGTACCGAAATAGGCACGGCGCCACAACGAGAGCGCAGTCGCCTGAAGCACCCGCCGCCGGCCCCCAGAGCCTGCGCAGTCGAAATGCACATGGACGATGTCGAGAGTCATGAATGTACTGTAAATAGCAGCGAATCGGCCGCACACGCCCGCACGCTTCAGCGATCTAAGCCCCAGCTGCACCCCAGCTGCTTTTCACCTACCGTAAGAACCCCTCAGTGTGCCCGCACTGTTTGGGGAAAAAAGACAGACAAGTCTAAAGAACATTAGGTCTTAGGAGCTCGTACTTCTTCCTTCAAGCAAAACATCGTTCCAAGCCGCCTGGCGGTGTAATCTTCCACCCCAGGACCAACAAATTGAGCAAAGTGCAGTCCCACACAAACCCCGGGTCAAAAAGAGGTGGATCGTCATGACGCTTTTGGAAGGTGAGTATGCCGTAAACTGTTGATATGCATGGTACCCCCTTCCTCACCCTGCCAAGCCCGAAAACCGCAAAATCCTCTGCCGTGATCTCTGCTTGGCTCATAGGATTGGAGAGAGCAAAAATGATCGGACGTCCCCCCTTGGGCTTCGCAGCTTGTACGCTCAACATCGCCTGGACCACTTCCTGAGAGTTGGGTGCTTTTTCTGCAGGACCGCACTGACTACGACTAACAAGAAGCTACCAGTAGCTTAGCTAAGCGCACCGCTGCCAGGAACAAGTGCATCGCTATTGGTAGCTAATGTGCTTCTAGTAAACCGGTTTGGACACCTCTGACACCTCCTTCTCGAAACGGAATCGCGTCACCCCTGCCGTGCCTCCGTGAAGCAACCTGGAGCCCTGCCAACAGCACCGATCAGAATGTCTGGCTTGTGATGCTTGATGATTGACACCAGATCTGTTGGGTCATAGCCTTTCCTCAGTTCCCAAGTTCAACCAGCCTCACGTCAGGACAACTCGTTGGCCAACCATGAATCAAAACCCCCCAAAAGAGAGCTTTCATGAAATTCAATTCCACCCATCTTTGCGCACTGAAAGAGAAACTCTGACCCCAAGTTTGACCTTACTTTGCTACTTCAAGGGTCGGCTCACCGATGAGCGCCACCGCCTTTTGCTCGTCGTTGCGGAAGGTGCCTTTGCTCCCATCCTGGGAGCTCCAGATCACACCTGGAAGCAGGGGAAGCATGGAACGTTGGATTTGGCACTCAGTACAGTAACATACCGGATAGTAATCCGCCGACCCCGGCCGACGCAAGGGGGAGCGCGCCAGGGAATAATGATAGATCCGCCAGAACTCAATGGGTTAAAGCTGTGGCGGAGGGGTGGTTTCAGATGCTTTTGGGAGGCTGGAAAGCTTTTGGCAGGCTATTGGTGGAAGCTTTTTGGGAGGTTGGTTAGTGGTGGAAAATGCTAGCAAATTGTCTTTTTTCTAGGGATCCAGAGCGTCCGTTTGACATCGAACGTCCGAGGAATTGGGGCTCGTTTGGAGCAGAACTCAATGGGTTAAAGCCGTGGCGAAGGGGTGGTTTCAGATGCTTTTGGGAGGCCGGAAAGCTTTTGGCAGGCTGTTGGTGGAAGCTTTTTGGGAGGCTGGTTATTGGGAGGCTGGTTAGTGGTGGAAAATGCTAGCAAATTGTCTTTTTTCTATAGGATCCAGAGCGTCCGTTTGACACCGAACGTCCGAGGAATTGGGGCT